AATTAGTTAGTTCTTGTTTCTCCATCTTTGGGTGGTTTGAACAGTGTACGATGATCTTTTGGTGTGGAACGATGAGGCTCTAGTCAGGAAATACCACGTTCGTTGCACGTTTACTTTGTGCTCTGTCCCTCCGATGATCGTTACAAGAGAATTGTTTCTGCTACGTTTTACAGCCACGTGGTCTGACTGCTTGTGTTATCTAAAGATCGATGGTTTGCAAGCTACGTCTCGTGCGAGCTCATATATGCTGCGGCTCAAAGGAGTGCTGTGCTCTACGGGGAAGCGGGACGGTAATACCGCTTTCTTATGTGTGCGTGTTCTTGAATATCATCAGCGCTTGACCTTGATGGGTACGGGGATGCAAAGACCAAGAGCCGGTGGCAATGATTCGTTGATATGGGATGAAGAACAGTGTGTTTCAATGGTCAAGCACTATCGTCAGTCCATAGCGCCATGCTTCTGCAACAGGTATTGCTGCTGTGTTGACTTGGACAGTCATGTCATTGGTGCTATCTTCTAGACTAAACTCGTGACCCTCTTCATGCCTGATATCATGAGTTGTTAAACAGTAAAAAACCGACAGTAATAATGCCAATAAACCAGACATGGAGTTTCCATCAACACCGTGCCATTAATATATTTTGAGGGCATTGCTGCCAAATGTCAAGAACGATCGCTATGCCGTAATGCACCAATTGTATGCGAATTTGAGAAAACACAACAGTGCTTGCTTCGGGAAAGGGTATCTGATGTGAACGATGGCGCGATGTGCTGCGTGAGCAGTACGTAGTTGTGGTGAAAGCCATTACTTTAATTGTGACTTGCCAGGATGTAACAATAAGAACAATTTCGTATGAGAGGAAGCGAAACGTCATAAAGCGTAAAGGCGTGAGTCGGTGCAGTGATGAGAGAGATGAATATCGTAATTCGTGAGTGTTGCGTATAGGTGTTTATTATCCGCAAACTAAGGGAGCCTGATGTCATGCCGGAGAGCCGGGATATGGAGAACCGAGACTAGAGAGGCTTGCGATGCTGGAGCGATTGACACGTTTTCGTTTTAGAGCTTGGTAATCCTTTTTGAATGAGGATATGCATCTTTGAAGTTCCTTGTCTGGATGGGCTGGCATTTGAATCTCAACGGCTTTGAGGCAGATACGGAGATACTGAAGTTCATCGTCATTTTCACGCAATTCTTGCTCGCTGTTGTTTGTTAGAAAGCTGTTGAGAAAAGGGTGGCAGATAAACTTACAGGTGAGCTATTCGGTTTTGGAGAAAGATAATGCGCTGTGCAGCCCGTTCGGCACGCTCGATGAGCAGACCTTGGATATGCTGTGGGATATGTAAATATATGGACAGTCGAACGGCGAAACCAAAAAAAAAAAAAAACGTACATCAGACTCTTCTTGTCGAGCCTTAAGATTTGTGACCAATTGTGACATCTCCTCATTGAGTTGAGTAACTTCTTGAATAACCTTCTTGGCCTGAGCAACAGTCATACCCATGTTGGCCGGAGGTTCCGGCTCTGGCTCCGGTTCTGGCTCAAGATCCCTTCTAAGTGATGCTCCCAAGTCTGAGAACCGTGTCTTGAACGCGGAACCTGGTGTGCTGAAAATTGATTCGCCAGGACTGCACATATCCAGACTCAGTCGTTGACGCGCTTGTCGCGGTGATGGTGTGGAAGGTAAGGAAAATGAGACGGTCTTCTTAAGCATCTTTGTGCCCTCCAGCTGATCCAGTTGCGCGGTGAGAATGTCGACGCCACTATCGTCAAGTAAATCATCGTCGCCTGAAGTGAGCTCATGCGCGAGCTGACTCAACCTCTGCGCCAAAACATCGCGACTGTTTCGTGGCCGGTGGGTCCGACGCACAGAGGGAGAAGTGTTGTTTGGTGAATCGTTAATTGAAGATAGTCTTGAATGGCCAGAGATGTCCCTTTTGTGAGGACTAACCCGTCCTGTGGAGAATCCTAGACTTGAAGCCACACTCGGGCTGGAGAGTAATGAAGGCGTTCTCAATCCGGGAATGTCTTGGTCCGGGGCAGAGTCATTGTCGTCGTGATATCGATCGCGAAATTCATTGCGATAACCGTTGCTGAGGTTTCCGTAAGAGAAATAACTGGTGGCTGGTGTAGTGGCGGTAGAGGATGAATTTGAGAGAGGTTGTTTTCGATCCGGCGTCGAGAAGATGAATTGCTGGTCCGAGACTGCAGACGCCTCGTCAGCCTCAGCTGCAGCCGCAGCGAGAACAGCAGCGGTATCCTCGTCGATAGCAGCGAGATCCATGATTTGATGGCGACAGATCTGATGTAAAGTGGTGTGTTTATGTTGATTTTCCTTCTGCGGCCTCGGGCAACGGCAACGGCAAGGCAAGGTACGGGACGTCAAAGATAGCGGCACCAAACCAACCTCGCGTCTAGGTAGGTAGGTAGTTAATGCGAACTCTTTACCTTTTGAGAGCTTCAAATGGCCTAAAGGAGACCAACGCCAACGACGTGTTCAAGAGTGGAGCACTTGGAAGGGATCCCAGCTTCACCGACTCGACTCGACTGGACTCTCACTCGCCCTGGGAGGCTGGACACGTCCACAGTCCACAGTCGCAGGGCCAGGCCGGACGTCCACCAACAATAACCGGGCTTGACCAGCGCAAAGAAAAATTAAGGGCCCCGCGTGGGCCGCAGTGCAGGGAGGAGACCCAGGTAAGAAAGGGGCGCGAAAGAACAAGCGAAAGTAGTCGAGAAAGAAGCGAGAAAAAGACGATGAACTCTAGTTATCAATAGAAACTCAACTATAAAGAGAAGCCACCAAATCTCCCCGTTTGGCTTCGACACGGGCGCCGTTGGTTTGACTTTGGCCGAGTATGGTAACAGTAACATTTTCCTAGTCCTTGAGGCGGGGAATTGTGGCCATGAATGGGACGGGAGATGGAACTGACCCATATTTTGTCCGGTCCAATCAGATTATATTGAAATCAAAATACGTCATCTTTTCACGTGTTGGCATTTCCTACAGCTCAGTTTTATTAGACGCCCAACTGAGTGTCTCTCGTTGAGTTGTCAGTCTTAGGTTTCAGAACGATGCGCCTTTTTTCTTTGTTGCTGGGCATCAATGATGCTTCTGTCTCAGCCCTTTTCAACGAGAAACATTGCAAACGGCGTGTCACGTGACTCGGCCAGTTCGTGAAACCCTATCTTAGTAAGTATCTCACCAACCACGAAGCACATGAAAGTGCGTGTATGAACTACAAGTCTTGACAAACTCCAAAAACAACACTGACTTGACCATATCGAGGCTCTATATAAAGACTCGATAACCCGCATCTCATCAGGCACTCCCTGTCTAGGCCTATGTTCAGTGATGTGCGTCCCTGTGCTGAGGTGTGGGGTAGGTTAGTAGCTAGTCGTTTGACTCGAGAGCGATCTCCCCAGACCAAGTTGGGTTCAAAGTCTGGGGAAGTTGCTCTTCTTTGCAGTCAAGTTAACCAAGAGGAGAAGATGGTGCATTAAATCGAGATTCTACCCGTGGCCTTGCTTGATTCCTTCGGCAGGGGCTACATGATGCAACAAAGATCCTCGTGATACTGATCCAAGCGGTGTCAGATCAGGATTGACGTATGAATACCCGGGATAACATGTCATAACCGCCATGCGATTCTACAGACTTTTCAAAAATCGGAACCTGTTTGACCCTAATCGAATGCAAGACCCTTGGATCGAGAACTGAGCTTTGGCACATCCACCATAGCACCACCGCTTGGAGCACATAACCTAGATAACCAAGGTCTAGGCCGAGGTCTTACACGCTTCTCCCTCTAAAACATGACAGCAAACCTACAATTCAATGGAAAAGTCTTGCAGAGTGGTCTGTTGTTTACTTATATGCGAGTCCATTTTCTGTGGCATGACCTGCCCGGGGCTTCGCCGAGCTGAGAGGTCCGTACCCCGACATTAAAGCTCGGAGACCGGCGGTGATGAGGGGAAGTGTAAGTGACAGGCTTCACTTGGAAATTGCTGGTTCGAAATCATGATATGAATACTTGCTGGAGAAAATTCATGATTATAAGATTCAATAGATGTTTGGTTTACTCTATCAACTCCTTTGGGCCGTACGTAGTCTTGAGCTTGAATACCTGATGTAAAAGTTGCTCCATGTCTCCGTGGATGTGCTGCAGCTTCTCCATCATGTGCCATTTATGTATTTACCCCTCTGGTCTGGTCTGGTCTGGTCTGGTCTGGTCTAGAGAAATACTTCCCCATACTTGATCCCACTTGCAACCGTGCAAGCTCAGTTTACAATGGCAGCAATTGGACAGTTCCTCCACTAGAATGACGTTTTTAAAGTGAAGAAGGAAATGTTCCCCCCGGAATCATCGTTAACTAGGTGCTCATTCAGTTCCGTCCGAGCACTTCCGTCTTCTTCCACCTTGGCTCGTCTCTTCTCCCAACTCTCCTCCGAGTTGTTCCATTTTCATGTGCGCGTCTGGATTGTCTCACGCGACACTGCAATAGCATTGTTTTTTGAATTCTCCGTCGTTCAAGGCACAAGATAGAGAGACCAACCGAAGAATAGCATCCAAGGTACCTCACGTACCTCCACTCTCCGGCCACTGCCTCGGCTTCTCCCGCTATTTGCACGCCTCTCTTTCCATTCGCGGGGCCGCCATCCATCATTGATACTCGTACTCTATTCTACCCTTCTGCACTGCTCTTCCACTCTCCATATCTTATCATCGCCTCACATCGTCCTTTCTTTCTCTTCCCCACTCGCCAATTCTCTCGGACGATATAGTCGCTCGACTTCTCTCGTCTTGACTCTTCAATGACGACGCCGTGAGCTTATCCTCCGACCTTTCAACTTCCTCGGACGCTCTTCCGCAGCGGGAACCCGGTCTCTCCCTCCGCCCGTCCGAGCCTGCCTTCGAGTCCGATTTCTCTTTCTGCGACATCGTCACCCTCTATTCTCCCACCTTGTTTTGCTCTCTGATTCGACCCACGGTTGCCCATCATGTCGTGGAAAGCTTCAGAGCGTCTGATGGATACTATCCGTCACTATGCTCGGTTTCCCGCCACTGGTGTCAGCTTGCGCCAGATGGTCCAGTTCGGCGAGAAACCCTCAGTCGGTATGTTTTTGCTCGTTCCCGTATCCATTGAGCACAGTTATTGACTTTGGGCTGCGAAAGGAACCCTGTTCCGAGCTTCTCAGTTCTTAGCCGAGGAGCTTCCAATCCGTCTAGCTCATCGCGTGCAAGAGCTCGACGAGCTCCCAGATGGTCTTAATGAGATGCCCTCTGTCATTAAAGTCAAAGATTGGTACGCTCAATCGTTCGAGGTATGCGTCTTTGAAGTCAATTGCCAAAATCCGGAGTATTAACTCGACCGGTAGGAAATCACACAACTACCTCGGCCACAGTTACCCTCGGATATCCGAAGCCGCCTCATGAAACCCAGCAAAGCTATCGGTCGCAATGCTTTTCGCCTTCCTGCCGCAACCCCCAATCCCTCTATCGACGAGGGCGAAGCCGACGGTTGGGGCGGTCTTCAGAACGACAATGGCAAAGCCAAGGCCGCTGCGCGCCGGTACTTTGCTATTGTTGACGACTCGAGCGACTGGCCCGCCGATCTTCACCTGTACAATCAACGTTTCGCTCAGACTTTGCACCACATCAAGCGCCGTCACGATGGTGTCGTTACCACAATGGCTCAAGGCATCCTCGAATACAAGCGCCGCCGCCAGCGCATGCAGATCGACAGCACCATCCAGTCCTTCCTCGACCGCTTCTACATGTCCCGTATCGGTATCCGCATGCTTATCGGCCAGCACATCGCACTGACAGACCAAAGCCATCATCGCGACCCCACCTATGTCGGTATTATTTGTACCAAGACCAATGTCCAAGATCTCGCTCAGGAAGCCATTGAGAACGCCCGGTTCGTCTGTGAGGATCACTATGGTCTTTTCGAAGCTCCCAAGGTCCAACTCGTCTGCAACCCCAACCTGAACTTTATGTACGTTCCCGGTCATCTGTCGCACATGCTTTTCGAGACCCTTAAGAACTCTCTGCGCGCCGTTGTCGAAACCCATGGTATGGAGAAGCAAGCTTTCCCCGTTACAAAGGTTATCGTTGCCGAAGGCAAGGAAGATATCACCATCAAGATCTCTGACGAAGGCGGTGGTATCCCTCGAAGCGCTATCCCTCTCGTCTGGACTTACATGTACACCACTGTCGATCGTACGCCAAGCTTAGATCCCGATTTCGACAAGAGCGACTTCAAGGCCCCGATGGCTGGTTTTGGATATGGTTTACCCATCTCACGTTTATACGCGCGCTACTTCGGCGGTGACTTGAAACTCATCAGTATGGAAGGGTAAGTGTTAAACAAGCGTACTTCCAATCCGCCTAAACAAATACGCCTATTCTGATTATGAACAAATCCGTCACTAACATTTCTTTCACAGATACGGCACCGATGTCTATCTCCACCTGAACCGTCTTTCATCATCCTCCGAACCTCTGCAATAGCAATTACATAGCGCCGGCGCACAGAACCTACAGGTTCCCCCTTGGGTTCTTCGCAAACGACTACAAGGCCGAAGCCGCGAGATATCGGAACGGAAACAGGTGGGCGATGCCGAGGCGGTGGTCAACGCGCCACCACGAAGCAACTATACCAGTCCACAGGAAGTCTAATGGGTTTTTTTCTTACAAAAAGGGAATTATCGTCGCCCGCGGGAGAACCGTGCGCCGGAGCAAAACACAGACGAAAATATATCGTGATACTACTATATCAGCAACTACTACAAGAAACAATAAGAGGAAGAGCAACAAGAATCAGACGATGACGATCACAAGGCCGCCCACGATATGCCCGCAGCTGTACCACGCCAATAGGAACGCACAGCTCACTTGGATATTCGAAAGAGGAGGAAAGAGATTACTTGATTCGAGGGACGAAGATCCCACTACACCAGAACACCGCACCATGTGGTTTACACAACCCGAGGGACCGCTCTCCATGGAGGCCAGTCTAAAAACCAACGTTGGGAATCTCTACAGTCTCACAAAGCGTGCTGTTGCACGCATGTTTGGACAATAAACGCCATTCGAGCTACGATTTGGTTACTATTATATTTCAGGTAAACATCCCTCCCGCTTGAGATGGGAGGCAGAGGAACATCGCTTTATGCAACGGTGAGGGCACATTGTATGATGCATTGGTTATGAAGGGGAAGAAGAGGATGGTGACGATCGATATTATGGGAGGCTGTCTTGCTGACAGAGCATGCAAGCATGTATATGGAACAAAAATACTTCTACGGGAGTCTTGGTCATGGGTAGGAAATATTATTTGCACTTTGTTTTCTCATTACTTGATTTCGCTTCAACTTCTGTAACTGTGGTCGGGATGAATATCCCCTGATTCCACGTTGCTAAGAATTCCTCAACTTTCTGATGTGACAGCATGTGAGAATCAAGAGGAGTAAAGTAAAGCAACGCAAGTCAATTCACTAGGCTTTTCTACCTGTTCCTGGGCGGGGGCTGCTAGCCTCAATCATTCTCATCGGCTTCCCCTTCCCCTTCCGCTTCCATTTCAATCATGCCTCTCACTCAAGGGCATCGCTCAAGCCTGAGCTGTTGTGAGGGCGAATAAAGCAACCATTTTCTCCTACCCCATGACGATCGCAAAAACAAGACCAAAAAAGAGACTCGAGAGACTAATCCGAAGTCTTGGTCAAAGAAACAAATCTGGGTTGTGCTGCATGACGGCCTTCTTCTAGTTGCTCAGGGCGTCAAACTTGTTGCGACTCTGTGTGGAGTGGCTCGATCGCTGGCGCCCGGATGAACCCTCAGCTTGATCCATGGTGTTAGGCTGAGTGAAGTAGCGCTGAAGAAAGAGTTAGATAATAAGTTCTTTCTTATCATAAGCGTGCCTACCTCGTTTTCCTTCTGCCACTTGTTGCTGGCGTGGAAGTTGGCCTGCTGATGTCTTCTGAGGTCGGCCTGTGAGATACGAGTCTGTTTCAAGACTTAGCCTGAGATCAAAGCCCCATTGATCTGAGATACTTACTTCCTTTCCATTCGCCCACCTGTCCTCACGTCGGGTTGAGACCTCTTTCATGGGAGGGATGTCGTCCCAGCCATCTGCGAGCTTAGCACCCTGGTTGCTTTCTTCGGTAGTTGATACTTCGGACGCTGAGCTAGACATGACGGTGGGGTTCTTGGACGCAGTATGTCTCTGGCCCATAGGATCCCAAGCGTTGAAGGTGATCTTGCGGGCGGCAGCCTCCTCCTCCTTGTCCTTGCGGAGAGTTGTTGCAGTCGAAACACTACCAGTGGTGGTGCTTGAGGTGGCAATTCGCTGGGCTATTTTCAGGCCGCGGAGGTGAGGAGGGAAATCGCTTTCCTTCTGAGTTGCTTGCGGAAGAACAACCTTTTGGTTCGAGGATACAGAGCCTCCGTCAATAGACATGCTTGCGAGACGCTCTGGCAGCAACCCGTGGAGATGAGGGGGGATTGTAGCACGGCTAGAAGTTGTTGACATGTTGTCGCCAACCACACTGGATGTTGTGGACGCATAAGTTCGTGTGTTAGAGGAGTGAAACGCCTGGGAAGAGCCTCGCACGACTTCGTTGAAGGCTTTGTTGTCATCTTCATTGTTTGGGTCTAAGCCAAGGGACTCGGGGGAAGTGATTGGTGCCTGTCTGATGTTAGCGATTCCGTTCCATCCCCTCGTGTCTGTTGCTTACTCCAGGGAGATCATCTTCATCGAAGAATTGGGCAACCTCAACAGGGGCAAGGTAACCTTGGCTCATCATCTCTTCTTCCTCTACGGAGATATGACCTGTTGCTTTGGGCATTGGAGTCACCGAGGGCTCCGCGACTACATCCCATGCGACACATTGTTTGCATCGCTATTTCATATTAGCTAGAATTTGACACCACAGCTCGGGAAAGTTCTTACCCAGTCCTCACCTCCACGCTGAGCCCTGGAGAAGAAAGCGTATGGGAGTGTTTGGTGGCAGGCGGCGCACTGATGCTCCAAAACGGGAGTTGGACTATGTTCCTTGCAGATCATTCCGGTGTTTTCAGGATCAACCTTTCGACCATTGTCTATCAAGAAACGGGTGTTTCTCTGTTGGGCCTTGGAGAACATGTCCCAGGGCTTCCACTCGTTACCTGAAGCGCAACGAAACCTGGCAAGATTAGCAACTTGAGCGCGAAGATACACAAGACAAGGGTCAATTTTACTGAGTTGGAGGAGTCGCGTAGGCTTTACTATATATCGCTTTATTTTAGCTTTGTTCAATTCTGATATTGATGGACAAACTCACGGCTTGTAGCCTCCTTGGTTGTTGTTGGACATGCCGATTCGTGGAAGGAGGTAATAGATGAAGAGTCAACTTGAGATGTCTTTTGTGTTTGCCGATGATCTCAGCTGCGAGTGGGCAAATGAGAGAAGAATGATAGAAGAATGTTTGGGTTGTATGCGCTCCTGTTGACCGCTTCAGGTCAGCAAATAATAGACTGACACTCGGCGATTTCAGCAGCCTCGGTTGCTTATGTTAAAAACAAATAGGATGATAGAACAAAGGATCTTTTTGTGATGCAGATGTTGGATCAAAGGAAGAGATCCGATGGTGTTGAGGGTTGAGTGTTGAGGAGGAAGAAGGAAGGAAGGGAGGGAGGAAGATGCAAGGCTCGTGCGTTTGGGGATAATTATTTGCAGTGGAGGTTCTTGCAGCGGCTTCAGTGGCAGTGAATCACTAGATTATCCTCAGTTATCAATACCTTAATGAACAATGCCCGTGGCTTGCAGGCGGGTAGTGGCAGTGTTTGGGGAGTGCCTGTTTGCTCTTCCTGCCTCAGGTTGATAACTACAACTTGAGGCACGCACTTTCAAGTCTCACAAGTTTACATTTTGACTGGGTAACCCTTTTCAGGTTAACCTTACACCGTCTCACTTGGAGAAGAACTCTTTTTCGTTTCTAAACACTGTTGTGTTGGCGTATTATAGGGTTCTAAGTGTTGAAACTACTGTTATTTAAAGTTGAACATGTACCAAGATAACCTTCTGTGTGGTTGGAAGCAAGTGAGGAGGGGATAGAGGAAGCAAGAGAAAGAAAATCATCCTTTTGAATATTGTGCTGTGTATTTGAGTAACCGAGTTGCTGCAACTGGTTCAGCAACATCATATCAAACAAGTTTGTGAAGATAATGAAGCCCAAATCACATAGAACAAGCTGTTGAAAATAACTACTGGTCACAAGTCGGATTATATGGTAGCTTCATAGGCGTGCCACTAAGGCAAAGTTTTGCAATTTCTTTGTTGGTGTTGATACGCAGCATCCCGTAGCCATCAACCCCTTTGACGGTTCATGCACTGACATATCAATATTCAGAGCACACATATCTGTATTGCAGTGACAGTCACGTCAAAGGCAATTTTGGTACAAGTTTCACATGTTATATTCACGAAAACTACTAGATGCACTTATATGCATCTAAGTTGTTGACAGTTAGGTAAGTCTAAGGTGGATGAGGCTCAACACTGGCCCACATGCAATGTTCATCTGCCACATGGAAATCATGATGCTAATTACACCCTACACAATCTCTCATCTCATCGACATCGATCAAATTGTCCCCAGAAATTAGTCACCATGCATGGCAAGTTCCCTATCCAAGCTTCCTCTTTCAGCGACAAAGACAGGGCTAACACGATGCCCAGTCGCTTCCGACATTTTCACCGCCATCTACCCTACAGAAAATCGAATGAAGCCTTCACCGCTCAAGCGGAACCGTCCATGGCGTTGAATTAGCTCGCTGCCCAAACCCCAGACGATCAGCTGGCATGTCCACAAGCTTGTCGACTTACAGTTACCCCGATCACCATAAGGCTGTGCGTTGTCTGCGGACTGTGTGCATATTCGATGGCCAGAAGTGCTCTGGTCAACGAGTGTACCGCGCTGTATGATTGGCATAACCACCTCGGCATCCGAGCGTAATCGGACTCACTGCAGGCATTTGCAAAACTGCAGAAGGACTGCAGTATCTGTCTTTATGGAAAGATAATTCTGCATCTACCCTGCAACCTGCGAGAAGCTATTGGCCTCCATTGCGTGGCTGGACGGGAGTATGCAAGTGACCGCGCCAACCGACAAGCAGGCATCAGTTTTTTCAACATGCTAGGGTCATGCCATGTTGCTGCAGTGATCTCAACAGACGTGTCAAGCTACTGAGATATCCATTGACTATTCGTTGCTAACGGCGTGTCTCCGGTAGAAACTGGTATCCATCGTCAGGTTAAGCTTGGCGAACAACCCACCTACAGTAACAGGCTTCATCCATCTTCTCAAATCCACCGTCGATAGACTCGCTCTAGAGAGAAGACAAGGTCAAGTCTAGACCACAAAAAGACACCCTTACCGATACAGGTTGGAGGTCTTCCAGATCAGGCCGATCCCATATGGACGATACTCATCTTGGCCAAAGGATCTGGGGTAGGCTACCTTTTGACTCGCGCTTGTGCAAGCCTCAGCACTGGGCGAAGTTAGACGTCCAAAACGGCGTGACAAGCTCCCAGCCATGAGAAAACAAGATGCTGGCGCTCTTTATTGAAACAAGACTGTTAGCAAGACCTCCGAGAGAGACCGGTGCTCTGGAGATAGCCCGCCCGTTGGAAACAGCTGGTTCCTGAATCCGTGCTCCACGATAAGCTGTTGTCGATCCACCGAGCGAGCATCGGTTGCGATGAGCATCACTGGGTTCTGGATACACAAGAAAACAAAATAGATCGACAAGACAACGCGCTTCGTGGCCCACGGTCGTGTCAAGTAACAGCACTGATCAATGACTTCACCATGAGCGATGCCGCTGTGACAGTCGACCCAAGCGGGCTAAGATCGACTACCGTAGCTCTCGGGATGGACAGACATCGCCACATTCGTCCAATTCCACGCAAAGGAAAAGCTTGCATTAAACCCGGCCAATACGGAACTGACAGCTCAGGTCCCGGTTGGCCGATCATCAAGAAAAACGCAAGGCTCAGTCGGTCATGGTCGCTCAGGACAAGCGGAACACGCCAAAAGTGAAACC